AGGGCCGGTTCTACAATGCAAGTATAAAGTTCCGTATAGTTATTCTCCGGATATCTTATACTTCGATTTATTCCAAGTATAACAACGTTTGCGTTCTACATTCCTCGTAGAACTTCGGTATAACTATACGAAGAATAACCGCCGAAAAACGCCGTAGTAGATACAGCGCTCAGATTTAGTTCAAGTGAACTGACACAAAACGGAATAAAACGCGGGAAAAAACGCGGGAAACATATCTTTACAATTCACATGCCGCTGCCACATGCTTGGTTTTCAGTTTATTGGTGGTTTATTTAACAAGTATTTAAGTAGTTAGTCTGTGCGTGAAGTGTATGAAAATGGAAATGAAGAAAAGGTGTACCAATTTCACAAGAGATGAAGTGGAAGTTTTAATGTGTTTGGTAGAGGAACATAAAGAAATCATAGGTAAATACTCAATATTTTTAATATACACGTTTCCTTCGGCTAGTACTGGATTTTATTAATTTCTTATTTTAAAATAATACTGTAGAATGCAAGAAAACTGATGCTGTAACATGCAATTCTAAAGACACCGAGTGGCGCAAAATAGAGTTGAAATTCAACACTATTTGTGGCACAGGAAGAACTGCAAAAATGTTACGTAGTAAATGGGACTCTTTAAAGAAAAGTGTAAAAAAGGAATATGCAGAGCACAAGCAACATTTATATAAAACTGGTGGTGGGCCTTCTGTAGATATGAAGCTTAGTGGTATCGGCAATAGGGTGTTGGCTGTAATTGGTATAGGGGCAACGGGGATAGTGTCTCCATATGATTCTGATTTTGGTATGCTATTAAATAATTGTTCTATAATAAGAAAAGGTAGTTGTTTTCTTTGACTTCCATTCGTATTATAAATGCAAGTTTAAAAAATTATTAATGTACAGGATTTTTAACAGCTGAAGGAATATCTACCATGGAAGCCAACGATACTTCTACTAGTGAAACACCAGCCATTGTTACAAGCCGTAATATAGAAATTGGTACCTCTGAATCAGCTGATAGTTCACTGATCAATAATGGTAACGTCGAAGTAATACAAATTGTAAACACCAATATCAAATTGCTTAATAATTAACTTGCAATTAAAGTATGTAACATATAATATTTACAGCCTAACTCCAACTGGAATTCTTGGAATCCCGCACAACTGCGGCAGCCAAAGAACAAAGTCCTGCAGATTCCAAGTTCGTCAGCAGCTGCAGGTTTAAGATTACAACTTTTCATAAAGTAGTTAAAATGAATAATATTTATATAAATTACAGATATTGCTGGTCCATCGGGTGCTGTAGAAGATATGGATCGCACACAATCAGACAAAAGTGACATTATTAGAATAACCCATTTTAATTTAAAAAATTAAAAAAATTACAATGGGTTATTCTGATGACGAAAAATAAAACATAATTAACTGTATTATTCAAATAACAATAATGTGCAAAAGTTCTTCAGGAATATTGGCAAATTTATTTTGGAGGAAGAATCCCGTCAACGAACACTAAAAAATATTATTAGAAACCTTAGGTGGCCAGAAAACAGCCCCGATCTCATTGTCAGTCCTTTAGANGGTTTTGTGTCCATGAAGCCTTAATATAAACTGTATCCTCGTTCCTGGTTTCTTTCCTGCAGATGTTAAGTTGTGGTTGTAAAAAATGTATGAGTTAACTGAAGCTATATTGATCATATTACAAAAGAAGCAAAACGGACGACGTCTTGTCTTTCTATTACAACGCCTGTTTTGGACCATTTGGTCAAAAGTATTCACTGCATCGTTTGTGGAATTATATTCATGTATTATTTCCGGCTTTGATGAATTAGGATTTACGGCATTTGTAGAATGCATGGTAGATAGCCATAAGACATTGTTCTTGTTTTGTTTCGGTTTATAGGAAATCAAAGTACTTTTTAGTAAAAACCGCCCACATAATCTAAATCTTATATCAATTAATTGCGGAGGTATTTGCCTTTTATTCTTTCTGATGGTACCTACGACAGTTAACTTACATATAAGAAAGAAGTTTGTTGGCAAGTGAACAACTGGTAAACCAGTTATTCATTGTAATGTTTCGGTTACTCCCCAAAACTAGTGTATTGAGCAATTCTACGAAATAATCGTCCAATGGTGCTCCTTTGGTGTCGATCGATTTCCCAAGGTATAGACTTGTGCTAATAACGTTTTTGGTTGCAACATCACATAGCATAACTATTTTTATGCATTTGTTCGGTTTGTTTGGCATATACATCCTCAATGGGCATCTACCTCGAAAACCCACTGACTGTTAATCGATACACAGATATGCACTTGATTTGTAATTTGCAGTGCAGTTACATATAAACTGATCAAGGAACTTCAATTTGTGTAACTGGCCGTGATCCTCAATTTTTTGTTGCGTAAATCGTCTATTGTAATCTTATTAATATAAAAATGTACCCAATCCTTGTGATACATTCAAACAGCATTTTATTTCTGCATGAGTTTATTGTGCGACTTCCATCTCTGTCATATTTTATAATACAGGAATTAACAAGGTTTCTGTTTATTTAAGTCAGCGATATTTCGTAACACTAACACTACAACTAATAACTTATTTCTTACGAATGTAAGTAGGTCGGTACAATGTCCCAGCGTATTGGGACATTACATCTTCGCCAGTGTCAATTATCCTCAAACTTTCTGATAAAAAGTACATATTCTGTTTATAATTATAAGTTTTATTTAAAAATTTACTGACAAGCATGTTTTTTTAAGAACGTTCCAGGTCGTAGGTACTGTAGTAACTTTTCGATCCAACAAATTTTGCAAATTTCACAACGCTGCCGGTCTCTGTTCCAAAATAACGCATACAATTTATTAACACAAGTTTTATTAATTAACTCAACTTCGAGTTGATTATTTATGATATTTAGCGCAGTATTGGTAGAGCACTGTCGGTGCAGCTCCCTCTAGTGAATAATATTTTTAAAATTGTGACATAGTTTAGTCAAGGAGCTAATAAATTATTTTATTTATGAAGTGCGTGGGGAACATATTTTAGATTTTATTTAGCGCATGCATGCTTAGGTTAGTAGTTTTTTAAATGGATGATTTTTGTTTCTGTTTTCAAGTAATTATTTTTCTTTTAAACATAGTTATAACAACAAGGAAAAATAATAAAAAAAAACATTACCTACATCCTCAACATTTCTTGTTGTTGCGATCTTTATCGACCAATAGAAAGCAAGAATAACTATGTACGGAGTATATCCCTTGCAATTCAGAGGGATAAGATATTCCATAGTTTATACCAAGAATAACTTTATTCCATGATTGTAGAACGAAATTTTAGAAAGTTATTCCAAGTATAACTTATTCTTGGTATATACTCGCATTGTAGAACCGGCCCTAAATGTCAAGGCTTTCATCCCTTTAGGTCGATTGGGAGTCCATGTATTCTACAGATTCTCAACTCAATAGATAATATATGGAGGCATAAAAATTCCCTATGCAGAACTACAAATCATCACTGTTGTTGCCGGCTTGCTGTAGTTGCACATTTGTTCAGGGTATTTCACTCCCCTCCGGCTCCAGTAAATTTTAGAACTTTCCTGAATCATTAGCAAAGTTTGTTTCATCATAGTTGAATATATTTTGTTGCAGGTACACCTAGAATTGTTACTTCAAAAATATTCTTTAAGACTTGTTTCACCAACTTCTGTCATGGCTCGTTTACCTATAGAACGCCAATGTCAGAATGTACTAACCATACGTAAATTTGAAATAGCGTTAAATACATTTTTTACGTTAGTTAGTTAGTTAGGAGGTTAGCAAATGGTTTATAATTTTAAAATTATTTATTTATTTCTACAAAGAA